TGAGGGACACATCTGTAGAGTCAACTTGTGATCATCTTAAATATTCTGAGGCACACAGATGTAAATTGTAAATAAATATAGAGTAGAAGGTAAGGGACCTTTGACTACCCAGACCTTGACCAGTACCATCCCAGCCAGTACCCTCACAACTCTAAAGATGTAGAAGATAACCCGGCCAGTGTGGTTCAGTGGTTGAGTGTCAACCTATGAACCAAAAGGTCAGGGTTCGATTCCCAGCCAGGGCACATATCCAGGTTGTAAGCTTGATCCCCAATAGGGGGTACAGCCAATCAGTGAGTCTCATCATTGATGTTTCTCTCTCTCCTCCCTCTCTGAAATAAAAATATGTAATTAAAAACGTACAGAAGATAGATCCTGAGGGGAGAAAGAGGAGGGAGGTGTGAACCCACCTAGAGAAGGGGTAGGAAGGGTCAAGCAGAAAGATAATTAATTCAACCATTCCTGTGCAAATCTACTGTACCCTCACTGTCCTCGGCTTTGAGACACAGCAGTGAACACATGGCCAGATGCCCTGTGGAGCAGAGATTTAGCAGGATGGAGACATAGGAACCTTCATTGGTGTGACAGGCATGTGGGACCCAAGGCCAGAGGCAGGCCAAAGTGCACCTGTGTCGGGAGAGACTCATGTGCTGGTTGATTTTATGGAAAGATCCATAATCAGTTGCCTGCTTTGTGAGATGCCCTCACAGTTAAAATATAAGGTCCTTCTCTCCGCATCTCTGAAATGCCAGCAGGTGGAGGGGCAGGTCCTGAGGCATCTGGGAGCAAAGACAGGTACTCCTTTTTTCCCTTTTGTTATCCTCACCTGAGGATATTTTTCCATTAATTTTTAGAGAGAGTGAGAAGTGGAGTGGGTCGGAGGGGGAGAGACACATTGCCTCCCGCATGCACCCTGACCGGGGCTGGGGATTGAACCTGCAACCCAGATAAATTGAACCCGAGACCCTTTGTTATGCTAACTGATCCTCCAGACACTGAGTGACACCAGCTAGGGCCAGGTATTCTTTCTTTAGCGGGGACGAGCTGGAGAGGGCCAGAGCCGAGGGCCCAGGCAGTGCACATGGGACAGTTGGAGGAACCAGGGCCTGTCAATCAGTCTTCTTTCAGGGAAGGGTCAGAGCCTTGCTCTCTGCACTTCAGAACTGACCACTTCGCGGGAGAGAGGGGAGCTTTGTGGCCAGGTACTTCAGGGTTGGGGGTGAGCATCCTCCCAATGGGAGGGATACACTCAGCCATGCCTTGACACTGGCACTGGCTTCACATGTCTCATTGTGGCCCCTCCAGCACACTCTTTGGACTTTGCCCAGGCCCCTTGCCCCCAATCCTGACCCTGGAAGAAACTCTCCAGGTAGCCCTTCCTTGGCAGGAGCCAAACACTGTATCCATTTACAGTGTTTTCATCCTCTGTTCTCCCAAGTGTTTCCCATGGGGCTAGACTCCTTCCTGCAGGGCCAGGGCAGGGACTTGAGCATCAGCTACTGGGGGCCACCAGGTAGGGCCTGGCAGGCCTCAGTGGGGTAAAGAGGAGGAAGCAGCTCCCCACCTCCCCTTCCTGGCTTTGGCCTCATCTGATGGAGGGGACCCCTCCCCACTTCCAGCTTCTCCTCCTAAGCAGAGATGGGTCCTGCAGGCGCCAGACAGACAGGGTAGGTGGGAGGTAGGTGCCATCCAGCGTCAAAGCAGAGGCATTGGCCTCTTCCTGGGCCAGCAGAGATCCCTCTGCAGCAGGGCTGGGAACAGGCCCTCCAAGATACCCGCTGACCTAGGACCCCCCGCTGACATTCTAAACCTGGCTAGGCAGTGCTTTGGCGCCCCGCAGTGACAGAGTGGGCCCGGAAGCCCCAGGCTCCAGCACGAGGCTGCCCTATTGGCCAGGATTGGGCCCAATGGTTGGCCTGGTGCAAGTTCACCATCTCTCTGATGGTGGCCCGGGGGAGCTTTATCTTTGAGCACCAGGAGCACAGGTGGAGACCAGACAGACTAGATAAGGGCCATGTGCTCCACAGTGTCCTGGCCCTCCCCGGGAATCCTGGTGGAAGGTTGGCTCCAGGCAGAACCAAGCTTCTTAGTGCCACCAGTGTCTACAGCTCCCAGGCCACACTCTGGGGACCCCTGGAGTCCTGCTACACCTTTAATGATGAGGCCTCCAGCCCTGCTTGCTGCTGGGGAGGCTGTATCCACCTATCACCACCTTCAGGTCATCAACCCCATGGAAAGCAGTTGGGGCCAGCAAACCTGAGCTCAGCTCTTTTATGTTGGCTGGGTGGTTGGGGCAGGGTCCTCAGTTTCTCCATTTGTGGCTGGCATGCAGGTAGCTCGGTGTAAGGGGGAAGGGGAGAGATGCAGTTTGGGAGACTTTTAGCTAACTCCTTCCAAGTCAGATTCGGTCACTTACCGTTAGTAACCTTCTTGGTGGTGTCCCTGTGACTGTGGTGGCAGTTGAGCTCTCCTCCCAGCCTGCCTCCCCTTTGTCCCTCCCCTCAAGCCCAAGCCTGTTGGGGTCTTAGCCTTTTCTGTGCCTTTGATTTGAGTAGTGTACATGGCCGTGCCAGGGGCCCCGATTACATGCCCCATGGGAACAGCTTGTTCATGAACCCGAGAGACTTGCAATGCTGCCCACTCGGCCCAGCTGGCCCCGGGTGTCATGTTGGCAGCCGGGCTGCACACGGGCCAGGTCCTACCATGATCTCATGGCCCCACATGGCCCTGCTCCAGGAGTGCCCTTTGACAAGCTCTGCTGGGGGCCCAGCCTGCAGGTGTCATCCTGGGACCTCAGAGGTTTACAGCGAGGCCAGGACCAGGAGGGGCTGGCCTGACTAGGTCCCCTCCTGCTGTCTGAATTCAGATGACACATGGTTCCCAGTACCTCCACCACCACCAGGGGGTGCGAGCCAGGCCCACTGCACGCCACCTCTTGGCCCCACAGGGAAAGGAGCAGACTGTGTGTGATCAGCTACAGTGTTAATCTGTGGTGACACTGTCCTAGCTTTGCCCTTCTGTATCCAGGCCGCCCTCACTCTGCCTGGAAGTCTTTTTTTCCCCTAAAAAAAATATTTTTATTGATTTTAGGGAAGGAGAGGGATAGATAGAAACATCAATGAGAGAGAATCATTGATTGGCTGTTTTTTGCATGCCCCCCACTGAGGGGGGGATCGAGTATGCAACCCAGTCATGTGTCCTTGGCTGGAACTGAACCTGGGACCCTTTAGTCTGCAGTCTGACGCTCTATCCACTGAGCCAAACCAGCGAGGGCTGGAAGAGTCTTTCTTGAGAGGATGAAAACAGGGTCAGTGTGCAAGTCAGTGCCTGGGTATTTGTGTGAAACATCTCTGGGCAATTTGTCTTTAGTTACAGTACTGCAGAAACAGAAACAGAAACAGACTCAAGACTGTCAGCAGGGTGAGGCTGGGCACAGAAAGCAGAGTTCTCATATTTATTATCATACATACATACATATATATATATATTTCATGTGTATACACAGATAGTTTTCTCTCTTGAAGTATTAAAAAATTGATCAACCTTCAATCTATAAAAAATACCTACTCTACATGATAGAAAAATCTCTCCTCCAAGTTTACACTGATTTACACCCAAGGCTTTCCCCAAAATATACAATACGAGGCAACGTCTTAAGTCTTAGTGTAGAAGGTGGGCCATGTAGAAGATGGAGGGATGCAGGGCAACATACATGCTTACACGCACACACACATGCATACACCTCCCATACGCAGTCACACACAGCAGCAGCCAGTTTGTGGTGGGTCTGGCTCACCGGGGAGTGCCTGGAGGCTCCTGGCCAGTGCTCGGGCTAAGGTGGGCGGCAGGCCCAGCATCCCTGTGGGGTGACACTGCTGCTCCTGGCAGCGCAGGTGCTGGGCAGTGGTCGTGTAGAGCTGGGCAAGAGACCCCCCAAGCCACTGGGAAGGCTTGTTCTCTGCTCTTGATCTGTGTCCTTGGACAGCCTGCCCTGCTCGGCCTTCTGCAGAATGTACCTGGGGAAGAAGAGTGACTTCTAATGACTTCGGACTCCTGGAAGAAACATTTGGACTCTGGCCCGGGAGAGTGGACTTCACCCAAGGCAGCAAAATCTGCACAGGGAATGGGGTAATCCAGGAGGCCAGGAAGGCCACGCCCCTGGGGAGGCAGCACCTCACCCTGGCTCTGTCTATGCGTCAGGAGTCAGAGGGATCTGGCAATGTCCACCCTTCCAGATAATACATTCCACACCATTAGACTCTGAAGCCCTGATTTCAGAGCAGAGGCCCCAGCTCCCACAGGAGGATCAGAGCTCCCAAAGGTTATGGTAGAGGGTCCAACTGTGAGGACGGACGCATGGCTGGAAGCCCCTGGGCCTGGAGCTGGACTAGATGCCCCTTCTGGCTGGGGGACACCTGAGCAGCTCAGGGAGATAGCCTCAGAGAAGCTTGGGGGAACAGAGGGGTGGGCTACAGCTTCTGGTCAGACCCTGACTCGCACCGGCTTCACTGCCTGTCTTCCTTTCACATGCCACCACATCTGGTGCAAGGGTCCCGGGGCCTCTAGATGGCCCAGGACTTGAGCGGCACCAGATCAGGATGCCTGTGCAGACGTGGATACTGCACCCCAGGCGGGGACCCATTTCCTTCATTTCCTTTTCTTCCCTGACAGAGCGGGATAACGGGAGGGTCTACGCGCGAGGGAGCTCATGGAGAGGCTCATCTCAGCATAAGACACCGCTCACATCTCTGCAGAGGAGGGGGCCCGGGGCGGCCAGAGCTGAGAGCAGGCCCAATGCCACCTGCATCTGCGGTGGGTTCCACACCAAAGGCTTCTCTTTCCTCTCCCTCTCCCACCACCCCATCTTCATGTGCCCCAGCTCAGCTGTGTGCTCGGGGCTCAGTGGGCATGGGACCTGCTATTCTTGGCCCATGTGTGCCGTGGCCATCGCTGGGGTGTTGGCGGAGTCCAGAATCAGCCTGGGCTGGGCTTGCCTGCTTCTACTTGACCTCCAGGATGGACGGGTTGGTCTCCATGATGGCCACGATGATCCTGTCAATGTAGTCCTGCAGGCGAAAGTTGATCTCTTCCTGCTTTTGAATTGCTTCCATGAGCTGTGGGAGAAGCAAGAGGTGGGCACTGGGCACAGACTATGGGCACTTCCTTTTTTTCTCTTGAGACTGTGGGCACTTTACAGTAGAGCCCTAGGCCTCGGAGAGTGGATACATTACCTCATCGCGGGAGACGGAGCTGATCTCTGCGGCCAGAGATTCAGAGAAGGATGTGGAGAAGAGGTTCTTGGCGCCCTGGATGCTCAGGTTTATGATCTGTCCATTGAGCTCATCGTTCTGCTCCTTCAGGTTACGGTTATCCTAGGGTGGGCAGCACGACAGTGTCATTGCTGGGCTGTGACCCTCCAGGGACCCCTCTTCCAATGCGGGCTGCCAGGGAGCTTCTTCCAGGTGTAAGGGAGTCTGCCCAGCAGTACCTGCTTCAGCCTGCGGACCTCCTGCTCCAGCTCGCTCTCCCGGGTGCGGCTGTTGTACTCCTGTAGGCCTACACTGTTGCTCCGGCCCCTCCTCTGCTCCGCCTCCAGCTTGAAGAGCTGTAGGTGCTCCAGCTGCTTCCGCAGGTCCTCAATTAGCTGTGTGGAAGCGCAGAGTGAGCAGCCAACCCAGTCCCTGGTTTCAAACCTCTGCATCGGTCTAAATGCCATTTCTGAGGAGGAGGAGGAGGATGCCACGCTTCCCAAACACCACCATGCACCCAGTACTCCCCCTCCCCCTGCTGAAAGCAGTGGGCCCCCAGCTCACTCCCGATGGGCCCTGTGGATTCTGGGACCTCACTAAGTTGTGTTCACCTCCTGGGTTGCCTCTTTGTCTTTCTGGAATTGGTGTCTCTCATGACTCAGCCTGTCCCCCAGCTTCCTCCTGTTTTCCTGCTCGTCATTGAGCCGCAGTGACAACTCTTCAATCTCATCCAGCAACTTCCGTTTCTCCTGGAAAGTTAAACACTTGCCATGGACATACTCACCTGCCACCCCATATACAGGGCTACCCTCAGCTGTACGTGTCCTGAGTCTGTTCACTGACGTCCACAGGGCTGCACCTGAGCCTTCCTGACAGAGGCCAGGTGCACACACACAGGCATGCACTCAGGGCCTGTGCCTGCCCGAGTGTAGTTCATATGGAAGGTAGGATCTCGATGTGGGGCAGGAAGTGGAAGATGGGGAGGAGAAACCTCTCAGTGAACATCTACAGAATAGGGCGCAAGGGGTCCAGCTGAAGTCAGCCCCTCCAAGGTATCACTGGGTTCAAACCTCGGGTCCAGTGAAGCATGAACCTCTGGACCCAAGGATCCTGTGTCTGGGAAAGCTGAGGAGCCAGGCAGGCTCCAGCATCTCCCAGCAAAGGGATAGTGGCCTGAGCTGCACTTGTTCCCTCACACATAACCTGGTAGGCCGGGCATCATCAGCCTGCCTTTGGAGCAGCCCAGTTCCCCAGCCTGTGGCGCCCCCCTTGGCTGGTCATACCCCTGCAGACCCTTAACAATATGAGGAGCAGGCCCTCGCTGGTTTGGCCCAGTGGATAGAGCATCAGCCTGTGGACTGAAGGGTCCCGGCTTCAATTCTAGTCAAGGGCACATGCCTGGGTTGTGGGCCCCATCCCCAGTAGGGGGCATGCAGGAGGCAGCCTATCAATGATTCTCTCTCATCATTGATGTTTCTATGTCTCTCCTCTCTCCCTTCCTCTCTGAAATCAATAAAAATATATTTTTTTTAAATGAGAAACATTTAAAATTAATAAAATAAAAAAATGAATTAGCTGGCTGTGTGATTGCCCTGCTTTGGATAACCTGTCTCAGCACATCCCGATCCAGAAGGAGTGGGAAAGCACGTAGGACAGCATGAGTGCACACAGTGGTCCTGGCCCTGCCCACTCACCGCTCCTGGCAGGCAGCTTACCTCCTCCAGGCGTTCGATGTTGGCCTTCAGACAGGGTGTGCAGGACCTCAGCTCACCGTTCTCTTCGTCCAGTTGCTGTAGCCTGGGATATAGAATGAGGCTGGGACCCACTTCCTAGGAGTTCATCTCCTTGGGGTGAGGGGGGCTGAGTGTCTTGGAAACCTCAATAGGGGCTTCCCAGGGATCCACAGAGGCTACTCACCAATGCCTGCAGGCCAGCCCTCACACACACAGGTGCTCTGGGCCAAAACTTTTCGCGGACTAGGACAGATGTTAAATACACTCTGGGGGTGGGGATCATTTCAGGTTACAGAGCAGCTGCAGACACAGTGCAGAGTCCCCATGGACCCTTTCAGCTTCCTCTTGAAGCATCTGCTCATCACTGCAGCAGGTTCGTCACAGCCCATCACTCTCACCCCAACACTGGTCACCAAACCTTGGGTGCAATTCAGCTTTTCCACAAGTGCCCTCTGCCTAGGATCCCTCCCAGGACCACACTGCGGTTATTTGTCTCCATTGTTCCTATGTGCTGGGCAGTCTCGCAGATTTTCCTGGTTTTCATTCCTTTGACAGTTTTGATTATGTATCTAGACTTTCTTGTGTGTTCTCATGACTAGATGGGTTATGGTTTGGGGAAGAATCCCACAGAAATGAGGTGTCACTCTTATCACATCAGATTAGGATGCGTAAGTCCAAATGGGTGATGCCTAAGTCTAAATGGGTGATGGTGACCTGGATCGCCTGGTTAAGGTGTGTCTGCCAGGTGTTTCCTCTGTCAAGTTCTACTTTTCCCGCCCATTCTCTGTTTCTCGAAGACAGTCACCGAGTCCAGCCCATGTTCCATGGAAGGCAGGACTCAGCCCACCCCCTGGGAAGGGGGTCTCCATGTATTATTTGTAATTCCTCCTTTTGAGGAAGGTTAGTGTCTTATCCCCATTTGCCAACCATCACATTTAGTTACACTTTGGGTTGTGGTCCAATGGTGTCAGTAGTAGTGTGTTGCTCAAACTGTCCCACCTTCGACCTTCAGTTGGCTCGTGTCCTTGGGCTACGCACCCATCACTGTGTGTGTATGCTTTTGTATGAGCACTTCCCTGCTTCCTGGCACCACAAGATGCTCTAGGCTCTGCTGGTCTACCCTGTCCCGGCCATAAACTCAGCCCTTCCTCTAGGATCCCTGGTTCCTTTCCATAATCCAGCTGTCCTCACCACTAAGTTGCTCTGAAGCCCCCCTCACTGAGAGTGTCTTCCTCAGTGAGAGTGTCTTACACCATAACGGGCCGAGGCCATGTTGGGGAGGCCCTTGTGCTGGGCTGACCTTAGGGTGCTGACCCAGGGCTGCAAGGGCTTCTGAAGATTTGAGCAGCCCCTCAAGAACCACAAGCCTCCTCTGTCCCCCATCACACTCCCAGGGAGCTGCAGGAGGCTGATGAGGTCCAGGCACACAGAGCCAGTGACCCTAGGTGCATAGGGCAGGCAGCAAGTTTGGCCAGAAGAAGCTGTGACACCCACTCCTATGGCATGAGACCCATCTACCATGTGCCCCTCCATGCTGCTATCTTGTGTGGCCAGCAGGACCACCTGGCTGTGTAGGCTCAATGGACAACCAGTGGAGGTGCTCTGGGAGTGAGAATGGGAGGGAACTCTAAAATGACCATTTTTCTGCGGACAGACATCTAAGTATCTGTGGGTTTTCTTGTACAAAGAGTATTTTTACAGAACCAGCACTCACATGAGTAATATGAGCGTGTGTCATTTGCTCTAGCTTGAGGGCCGAGCAGCACAGGACTGCTGCACCTCTTTCAAGGTATGCTTTATGTACAAGGTGCTCATCTCTCTCTATTCCCTCCTTTTCCTGACTCATGCAAGGCTCATGCCTCCAGAGAGGCATAAAGGTAATTTTAATTTTGCCTTAAAAAAGATTGATACTTTGACAGAGATAATATCCAACTAGAGATAGATTTAGAGAAACTGATATCTATGGTCATTCTTTGAATTTAGATATTTTATAGAGTTTTAGTTTTCTTCACGTAGATTTTCCAATTTTTCTAAAATAAAATTTGCTCCTAGTCACTGTATCTTCCTGGGTGGGAGGGTAGGGCTGTTGTTCATGAAAGCACCCACTTTTCATTTTCACTTTTCACTGACTCCTCTGGAGAGTCGCGGCAGCCTTGCCTACCTGGCCTGCAGGTTCTCGATCTCAATGCTCTTCTCTCTCTCCATCTTGCACAAGAGCTCCTTCTGCTTCCGTGTCTCTTCCAGAATCATCTCACAAGCTCTCAGCTCCTGCTCCTTCAATTGCTCCTCAAGGGCATTGGCTCTGTGAAGACCAAGGCAGGAGGTGAGACGTTCTGCCCTCCTACCAGGGCTAGATGCTGCCCCAGGACCCTGGGAGAGCTGCCCTTCCTCGAGAGGGACGGGAGGCTGTGAGACTTTCCTCCCACAGCTCCAGAGCTCAGGGCAGTCTGAAGCAGGAGGTGCCCCACCTCCAGTCTCTGCTCCCCCCACACTAAGAATGGCATGTGGACCGGACACCCCCTGATGGGCACAAGCCCCCGAATGCCGCTTGCACTGACACTCCAGGATCTGGTGTACAAACCACCCACCCATTTCATCAGCAGAGATAAGGGCAGTATCATCAAGAACATACGAACAGAGGAATATTCAGATGGGGACCGTGGACCTGGTCCTTTCCCAGACCATTATGCCAGGAGGCAGAAACTGACCACCCCAAAGAGAAGGGCTCCAGGCCCTGCCCACGGCGGGCGTGCAGCCCATAAGCTGTCCCTGCACACAGGGCTTCTTGTCTGCTCCTTGGGCCTCACACCTAAGAGTAAACGGATGGCCAAAGACCCGCGCTATCCCAGGAGAGCTTTAACACGGAGTGACCAAATAACAAAAGGACCTCAGAGGAAATGCACACCGTGCAGCCACTCGGAGGAAAAGCCTGTAACTAACAGACCTAAGATTCCACATCCACAAAACAGAGGTGATGTCCTAGAAGGAACAGATGGCAAAAGTAACTTAGAAATTAAAAGCATGAGGAACATTGCCCTAGCTGGCTTGGCTTAGTGGAAAGAGTGTCTGTTTGAAGACTGAAGAATCCCAGGTTCGATTCTGGTCAAGGGCACATGCCTGGGTTGTGGGCCCATCCCCCAGTAGGGAGCATGCAGGAGGCAGCCTATCAATGATTCTCTCTCATCATTGATGTTTCTATGTCTCTCCTCTCTTCCTCTCTGAAATCAATAAAAATATATTTTTAAAAATATGAGAAACATTTTAAATTAATAGAAGAGTTGGAGACAAAAAAGGGTATTACATAGAGGTGGGGAAAAGAACAGGAAAGTCAAGGATATGGGAGGAAAGGTCTAGAAGGTCTAATAATTGAGGAATAGAAGTTCAGATAGATGAGAAAAGGAAAGACACTGGAGAAATTCTAGAAATCTTCCTGAAGCTGAGGGGCACACTTTCCAGATTTAAAGGTTGAAAGCACGGGCCCAGCACAGGAAACAGCAGGAAGCCCTCGTGCTGAGGATGCGAACAGGCTACACAGCGGGCCAGGCATCCCACCCACAGTCCAGACTGGAGGCAGCAGGGCCATCAGGTTCTCAGGGAACCTACTTCCAATTAGAATCCCAGCCTCAGCCCCGCTGTCAGTGCAGGTGAAACAGTCTCTGATGTGCAAGGTCTCAAAGGACCTGTTCCTATGCACCCTTTCCCAGGCAACAGTGGGTGATATCCTCACAATATGAAGAAAAACGGGGAACCCAGAAAACAAAGAAGCAAAGGCAGAGGCAGCAAGTGGAATTCAACGCCAAGAGACTGCATCAGAAGCACGCTGTTAGGAGAGCGGGGCCTACACAGGAGAAACACCCGCAGGAACTGGGGCCGCCCTCCTGTGAAAACCCCGAGAGGCTCTCGATTGCACAACAGAACTCGTTTTAACTTCATTAAAGTGATGTGGCCCGGGTTGGCGTGGCTAAGTGATAAGAGTATTGGTCTGTGCACCAGAGGATCATGGGTTCAATTCCCAGTCAAGGGCACATACTTGGGTTACAGATTCGAGCCCCAGGCATGTGGGAGGCAATCAATCAATGTGTCTCTCTCATATCAATGCCATTCTCTTCCCGCCTCTCCCGCCCTTCCACTCTCTTTAAAAACCAATGGAACAATATCCTTGGGTGAGGATCAAAAGAAAATAAAGTGATGTCATCAGTAGCATGCAGGATGAAAGCATTACGACAGGAACCAAGCATAACCCTGAGACTATGATGCGAATGCCATGGGAGTGTGTGGGCCTACGTCCCATGCTATTAAAAGCACTCGGAGTCCACCTGTTCAGGTCATGGGTGCGAAAACAAGGCTTCGAAAACAGGGCTCTTCTTGCCTGTAGTCGGAGTGTGTGGCAGAGCCAGCTTTTGGCTCCGGCAGCCGGTGTGGGGGACCTCTTGTGGAGATCCCACACACCATGCTGCCTGCCTCCCAGGCCCCTCGGGACTCCCCTCTGCCTGGCAGCTGATGCTTCTGGGCCACCCTCCTCTCTCACTCTCTGCACAAGCACATTGCTGCGAGCAGCATGAGGTTACAGAGTGACTACTGAAACTCACATGGTATTCTATAAAGTCTGCACAACAGGAGTGAGTAGTAACAGTAGTTTCTCCTCAGTTCACACGTCTATACTCTCACTATTAGAATCAGACTGTGCATCCCACCATGTATCCAGCGGTTCCTGCTGGTTTCTATGGCGAAGTATCTGTGAGGACAGGTCATGCTTCCAAAGCAAAGGGCTCTGAAGGCACTGGCTCTCACTCCCAAAGCCCCCTCTTGCTGTCTGAGGCCCTGGCAATCATGTAATCTTCCTCGCCTTGGTTTCCTCTTTGGTAAAATGGGAACAGTAGTATCTGCCTCACAGGGATCGTAAAGATGAAACCAGATGATGTGAGGGGAGTGAGCAAATCACAGCAACTCTCAAAGCCAAGGAGCCTGTGTCCAGGACCGAAGGCCTGTGGTTAATACTATTTCCCCTGGATGGGCTCCCAGAGTGGGGACACAAGCCAGGGCCTCACATTAGAACCCAGAATGCTCCTCTCACCTTGTAGCCTCTGCCACCCCTGAGATCAGGCTCCCTCCCCGGGCACTCTGTGCAGGCAGTGCGGGTGCTGGCCTCAGCTGCTCCTGAGGGAGGGGTGAGGCGGCACTCTCTCCACACTCTTTCCTCTGAGGCCCTACATGGGCTGGAGACAGTACTAAGTCGAAGCCACACTCAAAAGGCAGCCCCGCACCATCCCCTGGGCTGGCTCCCAGCAGCAGGATGGAGGGCAGCTCCAGGTGAGAGCCAGCCTCTGCACAGCAGCTGCTCACCTGTGCACCAGCTGGAGATTCTCCTGCCTCAGGCGGCTGTGTTGCTCCCCGTTGGCAGCGGTGTCCTTCTCCAGCTCTGACACGCGCTTCTCCAGGTAGACAACCTTGGGAGCAAGACAGTGTTCATTCGGCTCCAGTTGGGTCTATGTTGTTATGGAGACACTCCCCGTAAACGAGGTAGAATAGCCCCCCCAGGCGTCAGTATGGACGGGGACACTGGCTGGCCTCAAAGCTACAAGTGCAGGTGTCAGCAGGTGACCTGGAGAGGCCGGAGGTGCCGACAGTGCCTTTGTGATGGATCTGTGATGGCTCGTGGGCACCTGCTCTCTGCCAGACCCAGCCCTTGGAGACATCACAAGACAGGGGACTCAGAGAACAGCAAGGCCCCAAGATTTGGTACCTCTCTTCTCAGAGAGTTCACTGACAAGATAGGAGACAGATGCCTAACAGGTGATAAACAGACTGAGACCTGCAAAGTAGATATTGTAGGTGCTACAGAGAGGAGGTGAGGGGAGACAGGAAAGGGTACAGAAGAGGTGAGGGAGTAGTATAGGAGGTGAAGAGGGGAGACAGGATGGAGTGAGGGTACAGGATGGGGTGAAGGGCATAGAAGGAGGTGAGGGGGGACAGAAAGAGGTGAGTACCTGCTCAGGTGCCAATGGCTGAGGACTGAAGCAAGGAGCTTCAAGAGTGTGGAGCCCCAGGGGTGCTGCCACTTTCCTCTTCCCCTCTTTCTGAAGCTGGTCCTTATGAAGTATGGGTCTGTCCCCACATAACCCATTTAGTAGGCTTCTCTCAGGGAACAGCCCATTTTACACATTGTTTAATTCTGCCATCACTGCTGGGCGAGTGCCCTCCTCCCCAAAACCTCCAGTGCCCCCAAATCCTGCCTCCATGGCCCCGGTGAGCTGGGTCTGAGTCAGTGCACCCTGAGCGGACACTACAAATATGGGCTGATAGCCACTGGCGCTCACTGTTCTGTTCCCATCGCCTCGGTCCCCTCTGTCTTTGCATGTGAAATGGTAGAGAGGGGCAGGGCTGGCAGAGGATCGAATTAATTAACTCTGTCACTACTGATGTGCTCTGCTTGCCAGGATGAGGCCTGGTCCCCTCAACAAATACACCCCAATGTGGGTCCACACCCTGAGCACAAGTCGTGAGACTGGGACCTTGCTGTCCACAGGTGTCCTCTGGTGTCCCCCTCCAGGGCCTACCTTGTCCGCAATGTCTTCTTCCATGCCCTCCATGGTGTCTGGGGGAGGGTCCTGCAGGGTTTCCATGGTCAGAGCCCCTGACTGATGCAGGTGCCTGTGGAAAAGAAACAACAGCCCAGTCCAGAGAAAGTCTTTCACCAGAACAAAGAGAGGAAAGACAACGTGAGAGACCAATGCAAGTTCTTCAAATATGAGCATTTCTAGGTCAGTCTGAAAAGCAGGTCCCAGCAGCCTGGGACCTCTGGGCAGGACACTATTACTGAGGGGCTAGAGTAAGCCAGCTGTACTTTGTTTTCAAAGAGTCCTCCTGCTGCTCTTTGGAGCCAGATAAGCCCAGCCTTCTCTCACCAGCTGATGGGGCAAGGGTACTTTGTACTTGGATAATAAAATACGACGTGGTACCTCCCAGAGATACGATATAATCTCATATTCCACTGGCCCATGAAATACTAATTCGTGTTCATGACTTTTGCACACAACGTCACCTACATGTATCTTAGTATCTGACTTTTCAAATATACTTCCAACAGCAGCAATAGTGAGAGACTTGGGGTGGGGTGTCTTTCTGGGAAAGGCATATATAGGCCCGACTGCCCTTTGCCAGAGCAGCTCCAAGCACCGGGCACCAGTGAGCACAGGTCTCCTGCCACGTGGGCCATGCTGGGTGGTGTGCAACCTAGGACATAGTTGACACAAGCCCCGGCTGTCCTGTGGAAACCCCTGGGGCTCCACACTCTTGAAGCTCCTTGTTCAGTCCTCAGCCATTGGCACCTTAGCAAGTATTCAGCAAATACATGTTCAAAGTCACCCTAGAGATGATCTTACTAGTTGTGGTGATACTAGATCAGCTGTTATTTACCTGGTGCATGTGAAACTCTCAGAACATTTGGACAGAGTCTGCATATACTGACCCAGGTTCCAAGTTGTCAGTCTGATACTCAGTTGTGTGACCTTGAAAAAGCTACTCACCCTCTCTGAAACTCATTCTCCTATAAAATGGGGGTCTGCAGGCTATTATGGGGTTTAAATGAGGTTTTTAAAATATAAATAGCTCCGATAAGGACATAGCACAAGGTAAGGATTCAAAAATATACTATTAAAAATCACATTGATATTTTCTACATTATCTTTATAAAACATATCACCTTCTATTTCCTTTTTAGTGCTGACTTAGCTTGTACATTTCTTTAAGTTTTTTTGATTCCAAAAATGTTCTAAGGGGAACAGAAAAGAAGGGCATCTTCGTCTCTGGGGAACACGAGTCCCTTAAATGTGCCCAAGCTAAGACACAGGAGCACCTCCTGGATTTCATCTCATTCGCTGAAGGACACTGAACCCTAATGGCAGGGCCACCATGTTCTTGTCCAATTGATGTTCTCAAACTCCAGTGACTTTGACACCAAACACAAGTTCCTGGTGCCAATCCTGAGATAGAAAGCTGCCCACACAGACTCAGAGACCATGCTCAGGAGGGGCTATGGCCTAGGGCTTGTCACACAATCCTGAGCTCCTACTAGGAGCTCACAGCACTTCTGAACAGCCGAACCTAGGGATGGGCGGTTGCACCCAGTCCCCAAGTACCCAGTGTGCGGCCCCAGCATGTGGCTGCTTCGGGGAAAGGCCAGGTTTCTTGGCACTGTGGGTGAGGGTCTTGTTTATTTAAACCCACCCTGTTAAGGAGGCCTCCCCAGAGAGGGGACTATGGGAAATGCCTGATCATCCCAAAGGGAGGCAGGTAAAGTCCGGCAGGTGCCAGCACACTCAGGGTCAAGACCTGCTTTCTGCTCTGAGGCAGTGCCACTGGCGCTCCCTCTGGTCCTGAGGCTGGCTGTGTGCCAGTGCTCTGCGGCTGTCGCTTGCACACCGACCCCAGAGCCCTTTCCATCCATGTTAGATACAAGTCAGGTCACAGAGGCCAGAGCTGGTGGCTCCAAAACCCATACTCCAGCCACACTGCCACGTGAAAAGGGCTAAAACACTGTGAAGAGTGAAGTTACAACAGTTATTTTGAGTTTTCTTTAAATTCTGGTGGTGGTATTAAGAGCAAAATAGCAGCAGATTAAAACTGCATCTACAAGGTATGTTTGTACCGACCACAAAACATGCCTCTGTAAACTCTAAGTGCACATTCCTGCAGATTGAGCTTTTCTGTACCAAAGGGTAGCTGTGAAGGAAAAGGAAGTTCTCAGAGGGTGTTTCATGGAGGGAGCAGACACAAAGCCCAACCGGCGAGGCAGCCTGGGCCCTCCACAACCCCAGGGGCCCTCTGTGTCCCAGAGGTGGGAGGCTGAGGAGATGACTCAGATTTTTACCTTCTTTAGTTTTACTAGCTGTAGCCTCTTTGGGGTAAACTATGAAAGTGGTGTTAAGTCTGTAATAAAGTGTGGTTTGGAATTAAGATTATAGCCTTAAAAACGTGGATGCTTTTCTGAAAGGGGTGATGTGAGAAAACAAATGGAGGTGAATTGATAGGCAGCTATGGTTACTCTGGATCCTAAGGCCTCACAATGATAGAGGAGAGAAAAAAACACCACACACAAATGTTTACATGTCCAAGGACAAGGAGAACAGAAGAGAAAATGGCATCAGAAAAGGGATGTCCAGTGGTTAGAGCCCACGCACCAAAGAGTCGCAGGTTGGATTCCCAGTCAAGTGCACGTACCAGGGGTGCAGGGGTTTGGTCAGGGTGTGTACGGGAGGCAACCAACCAATATGTCTCTCTCCCACTGATGTTTTTCGCTCTTCCCCTCCCTCTCTCGCTCTTCCACTCTCTCTAATAATCAGTGGAAAAAAGAGCAACAAATGTCCTGGGCACTGGAGGGCAGAGGAGGGCCACAGTCAGCCAGTGAGACACTGGAGCCAGCCGCTTCCTCCGGAGAGCCCTGAGATGAACATAGAGATGAACATAGAGGATGGGAGGGGCAGCATCTACCGCACCCTTGAAAAGCACTGTCCTAGACCAGGAGCAGCCCTGGACTCAGGACACAGGGCTTACAAACAGAATGCACCCCCAGTCTGCAAACTAAACGGTGAGCCCAGCACAGCTCCCCAAACGCTGGCAGCTGGCAGCCAGGCAGAGTTCACTCTGGGAAAACAGGCCAGCCTGGCTAGAGAAAAGACCTAATGACACAGGGGCCTACCCACACCACATGTTGGCCAGCTGGGAGCAGCCACTTCAATAAGCACAAAGTGTGTGCCCCCAGTTGTTTGAGAGAGACCTCTAGAGTGACAGAGCCCAGATGAGAACCCAGGGAGGAAGAGCTGGTGACATGTGGGTCACGGGAGACAAAGCCAGAGTAGAGAGAGGCATGGGGCAGCAGGGATGAAGGCATGTGGGGCCACAAGCGGGAGTCCTAGAAAAAGCAGGAAGTGGAACAGAGAGCACTGTCAGAGAAACAGGCTGACAAAGCTCCCAAAACTAAGGGACAGAAGCTTCCACAATGAAACAGCACACCTTTCATGCAGCCCAGCATAAGTAATGGGAATAAGGACTCACAAGACTGAGCACTACCAGGACAAAGAAGAAAACATCTTAAGAAGCCCCCAGAGAGGGAAAATGAGAAAGCATCTGACCTCTTAGCCGCAGCAGTCCTAGTAGAAGGCAATGAGCAACACCTTGAAACACTCTGAAGGGATCATTTACAGCCCAGTCTTCTATACTAAGCCAAGTTGTAAGAGTACAGTATCTAGCACGGTCTCAACATATCTCCTGGTAAGGGGCGGGGGGGATTTATCTCCTGGGTACCTCTTTTTCCAACATGCTACAAGAATATATGCTGGACAAAAAAAAAAAAATGGAGATAAAAAAAAAAAAAAAGGAAGACATTATCAGGGAGTGAGATGACCCAACACCTGAAACAAATATCTCGATCCCACAAGTGTGTGGGGGAAACAGGACCACAGCAATGCAGCCTGCACACACCTGAGCAAAGGGCAAAGGGCAGAGGCTCTGGGAGGGAATGGCCAGTAGGCCCAGGGCTGCCTCGTGGCCCTGAGAGAGGGCTGGGCAGAGCAGCACTGAAGATGATGTAAGGGCTGGGTAGAGATAGGCAAGGGGGAGGGGTGGAGAGTGGGGACAGCTGTATTAGCATCAACAATAAAACTAAAACATAGCCGAAACCGGTTTGGCTCAGTGGATAGAGCGTCGGCTTGGGGACTGAAGGGTCCTGGGTTCGATTCTGGTCAAGGGCATGTACCTTGGTTGTGGGCATATCCCCAGTGTGGAGTGTGCAAGAGGCAGCTCATCGATGACTCTCTCTCATCAATGTTTCTAACTCTCTATCTCTCTCCCTTCCTCTCTGTACAAAATCAATAAAATATATTTAAAACAAAACAAAACAAAACCCTAACCAATGGACACAGACACCAGGGGGGTGAGAGCATGAGTGAGGGTGGGGGTGGAGGGATAAGGACTCATATGTAATACCTTAATCAATAAAAAGAGAAAAAAATAATTAAAAATTAAATTTAAAAAAGAGTTGAGAAAATCCAGAATAAATATTACTTAAAAATAAATAACTAAAAGATGAAGCAAATAAAAACATGAAGACAATCACTGACTCCAGGAGAAACAATGACACATGGTTCCTAAAGAGAATTCTTATAAATCCTGTGAAAATTGTTTTCAGAATTAGCATAGAAGGGGAGAGGATAAAGGTATGTGCTGTCATCTTTCACTGTAGGAAGCCAATAAATAGTATCTAAAACTGAAGAATGAGGAAATGACCACAGAAACATGTTCTTTAGAAACCCAGGATCAGGCACATCTCCTTCCTCTTCTAACCCTGGGGAATCAGGGGGTGCAAAAGGCAGATCCAGATCTTCTGACTGTGAAATCAGGCCCCTTATGGACTCTCTCTACAGCAGACATGGAGATACGGCCTCCTTCTGGACCTTGTTGGTAAATACTCAATAAAACAGAAGGGATGTCAAACATTTTCAACATAAACTTTCTGGTTACAAATTCAGGTCCCAATCCACAGCTATGAAAATTATTTTGACAATCCATCTCCTTGAATTATTTTTAGTCTCAAACCATGAAAAGCAACTTTCAAAAGTTAAAAATAATAATACATTGGAACATAGCATTTTCTAAACTTGTTTTTGAAAAGAGCTATAATTAATGAGACATTTCAGAAGAATATCTCAATAAATAACCAATAGTTTCCTACCTTGCCACCTTCTTGCTAGAGAGCCGCTTCGTTGGACTGTGCAAAATCAAAATAAACAGGAAAATTGTGTCAGAGAACAGACAGGGAGGAACGGGAGGAAACAGGAAATTCGGGCTGAATAGATATGGGGATGGGGGTGCGTCCATAGGCATGCAGCACCGTGCTTGCCAGGCCAGCTCCATGCATAGAAAGGCCCACTCAGCAAAACGTTCAGGAACAGGGGAGCAATCTCAGGGGCTTGTCAGGGACTCAGCAAACTGTTATTTCATGCCCCAAAGAAACTTCCAATAGATCCACAGTCGGACCTCAGTTCAGAGGCTGACCCCCGTGTCGACCCTTCAGCTGGTTGCACTGGATCCAAGTCATTGGCCAATGACACATCCTGAATGCTTTTGGAGCAAATTACCCTCCAAACAGTGGGTCCCCACATGAAACTTAACATGGGCCTGTTTGTAACAGCAAAGTGTTGTTATCGATTTAACTTAGGCACTAATACTTCACGCTCTAAAATCCCACCTGGACAGCTTTCCTGGTGCCAGCACCCAGCAGCACCCAATGCCCAGCAGCTTCTCCTGACACATCCTTCAGCAGTTTTGTAGCAAAGTACTGGTGAGACTCCTCCCAACGAATAGCTTTCCTGGCAGCCGGAGAGCAGATTTCCAGCAAGTTCTAGATGGCAGATCCCAAAAACGTCGCCTCTCACAGCCCCCCATCCGTGAGGCACCACAGTGGCTTACTTGCCATCCAGTTTGCCATGGCTACACCTTCTACAGCAGGGTCAGCCCTGGGTGAGGTGGGTGGGCTGGCTGTTCCATATAGATGCTATTCTTACATTCTTCTAAGTTCTCTCTACTCTTACTGGCTGACCCCTTGTTATAGTTAGCCATAACTTAACCACACTCTAAGGGAGAAGACTGGCAGTCTAGTGACTAGGTTTATAATTTGAAAATATGCCTCCGGGTAAAGCAGACATCTATAACAGTTTTGTAAAATTAATTATTTTTACAGAGGCTTCCAGGTACCTGGAAAATATGATAGCTATCAGCATCATCTGAAGCTCACCGAGTAGAAATTGTATCTGATGTCAAAGCTTCCACATATAGTTTGGATTATATCACCTTTTATTTTCCACAAACCATGACCAAATACATTTATTTGGAGGCAATTCCATGGACAGCAACAGGCAAGACTCAGATATCTTTAATTGAGTGTTTAAGGGAAAATGACTGACAGCTGTGTCCTCATCACAATAATAACTTTAATGATATATTAACCAACCTTGGTAGAGTCTTTCTTAGGGACTGGATGGCTGAAACTGGGGGTGAGACCCCACTAGATTTGCTATCCACGTGTCCAAGTTTATTATCTGCCCCACAAAGCCTAGCAGAAGTGACCATGGCAGTCCTGGGACAGAGTCTCCATATGGGAAAAAATAATTTCTTTGTCAAAAATCTTCAGAGAATAAGAGATGTCAGACCTGTACTGGAACCTACTTATCAGGAAGGTAAGTCTTCACATGAAAAGGATAAATAACCCCTCACCAGAGCACCCACATAACACACAGAGGTTAAACTGGTTTTCCCTAAACAGGCCAGTGGATCTTTGGGATCACAAGACATCACATTTTCTCAAGTCTGCCTGGAAGGCACCCCTCAAAGAACACTTCCCATTTCTCATCAGTGCTGCTGGGGATTCACCAGGCTCCCTTCTGAAGCTGCCAATGGGTCACAATGTTAGAGTCCACCTAACTGGGCACTTGCTGGACTCCAGCCTGTGTTGGCATGTTGCACAGAACAAAAGAAAAAGTGTCCAAGATGTAAAACTCACTGGAATTGGAACTAGGGGCAGAACAGCAGGTACAACAGGGCCAAGGTCACGAGGACCCACCAGAAAGATCTAGCTGGCATTGGCTGAGGCCCTCAAGGGGAAGGCTCCTCGGGATGTGTAAGTGGTTTTCAGAAGACTACTCTAAGCATGCTGAAACCAACAGGGTAGTTCAAATGTCTGCCAATCTTTATGTAACCTTCCACCCCTTCTCCAAGAAGCTGCCTGGATTACTGCCTGGGACCCCACAGCCCTAATCAGTACACACCAAGTAGCCCACCCAGAGGTTTGCCCATATGACCGGCTAAGTCAACAATAAGTTTAATGGGCATGTCAGTACCCAAAAATGTTTTCTGTAACTGGAGCTTGTGAAGTTGTGAAAAGCCAGCAAAAGGATCTGTTTTCTCCTAAAACTGTGACCTGAGCTGGGACTGGATATTGGGGACGAAAGAAGAGCAAATGGTCTGACACAAACTGGACCCAGGAGATGGAGGAGAACAGATCATGAGGGCAGGGAGCAGCGGTACTTCACGCTCTAAAATCCCACCTGAGGTCCTGTTTTAAAAACAGGGCAGCAAAGCTGGATTCTTCTGGAAACGGTGTCTGAGGCAGCCTTACGAAAGCAAGTTCAGGAAAGGGGCTCACCTAGAGACTGCGTACCTGATTTAAAACAACATTCCTGAAAGCTGACTGCAAATGTTTTGAAAGACCAAATCTTACTTTAAATTTCCCATGCTGTTTCAGGTGACTCCCAATTAAAGAAATCTTTCAGTAAAACGAAGAAAGTATCTCTAAGAACAAACTTTCATGAGTTGGACTTCCTTACGCAGGATACATAGCATCTAAGATCGTCTCCTCCCTCGTTTCCTCCCGAACAGCTGATTAGGCTGCGGCATGCACAGGAGCAAGTAGGGTGAAGGGCACCAAACAGGCTCAGCGCATGCAGGGAGCGGGGGCAGGGCTAGGGAACAGTCCGGCGTCTGCATGCTCATCTTCAATTCAGGACCACCAGCCAGGGTGCCCTCACCCTGGAACACAGAGCAAGGCCAGGCTCTACATCAGTTACCTATTCTTTTCAAGATCATTCAGGCGAGCCGAAAGATCCTCTAGGCGGTTGATTTGTTTATGGCACTGGCTACAGTAAAACTCAAAGGCCTCATCAGTGAGGATGCTGTGCAGCTTTGTGGCAAGCGGGTCGGCGCTAGAGAGACAAGAAGTGTCAGTTCAGGAGACAGCGAGGACTGTTCAGGTTACCTGTGACTCCACACAGGCTAGAGCTGGCCAGGCAAAAGCATATTGTCAGGTAACAGGCTGTGGAAGATTCTGACTCTTAACTTTCAGACTGCTGTACACCCACCTCCTCAACGTCATCTACGACCCATGACACACCAGCTCACGTTGCAGGGGGCTCAGCCACACCTGTCCTTCCTGCTCAGGTGCTCAGAGGAAACAAAGTGGCCCATCAAGTACCCTTAACAAGAAGGAAGCGCCTGCACATTGCTTCCTCCTTGGTTAAGCACTCATCAGAGCGAGCGCAAAGCATGTCTCCAGGTAGGTTTTACTTACTATAACTGCTTTAATACGCTCTGAAAATCACCAATAGCAGCCCTGGTCGGTATGGCTGTGGTTAGTGTCGACCCACGCACCAAAGGGTCTTGGATTCAATTCCTGGTTAAGGGCATGTACCTGGGTTGCAGGTTCACCCCCTACTGCCTATTGGGGCACCTGCAGGAGGTAACCAGTTTATATGTCTCTCTCATACCAACGTTTCTCTCCCGCTCTCTCTCTCTCTGTGTCCTCCCCTTCTTTTCCCTTTCCCTCTCTCCCTCTCTTCCACTCTCTCTAAGAAGCAATAGAAAGCCTGGCCGGTGTTGCTCAATGGTTGAGCATCAACCCATACACCAAGAGGTCACTGGTTCAATTCCCAATCAGGGAACATGCCCTGGTTTCGGCTCAACCCTAGTAGGGGCTGTCCAGGAGGCAGTTGATTAATGTTTCTCTCTCATCGATGTTTTTTTCCCTCTCTTTCTTTTCCCCTCTCAAAAAATCAATAAATACATACTTTTTAACAAACAAAAACACCAATATTAAAGACTACACATGAATTATGAATCACCAATAATCTGTTATTTTTAGACCTTTGTTAAAGAGTCGGAATTCTATTAGCCTCCCTGGGCTTGACACACCAGCCAGAAGGCAGCAATGTCCCTGGGGCATGAGGACCCACAGACTTTTAAAAGCCAATTGGGCCCTGGCCATTTGGTTGGAGCATTGGCAGGTTTCATTCCTGGTCAGGGCACATACCTAGTTTTTGGGTTCAATCCCTAGTTGGGAGGCAACTGACATATCTCTCCCTCTCTCTTTCTCTCCCCTCAAATGAATAAATATATCCTTACAGTTGCCGATTTCAAGATACTCGGCCTTTGCTGTCAGCAAAGATGGAGAGTTTCAAGAACCAGGTCCAAATGAGAGAGGTGGCTAAAGTGCAGTCTGTTCAGCCAGGCAGGGATCTCACCTGAAGAGAAGACATGTTCTCTGATGTGCCGCCACCAGTGAAGGCTGCCAGGCCCACTTAGAGCCCTTGTTTGGATACAGTGTTGGCTTTCTCCCAGGGCCTCCGAGAGGAAGGACAGCTGGGAGTAGCCAGCTCCATAGTGTGAATCTCACCCTTTAGATATTTCAGTGCAAAGCCAGAACTTTCCAGACAGTTTGGGGAGGTCAGATAATTATAAGGAAATGAATCAAAAAATTGGTTGTGATGTTCAAGGCTCCCGCAGAGGTTGGTCAAAGGGTACATATTTTTAGCTACAAGAGGAATAAGGTCTGAAGATCTAATGTAAAACAGAGCAGAACTTACATGTTCTCTTATACATACATGCACACATTCATATAGCTACCCTCAAAGCCAGCTACCCACCATAATGAGATCACAACTAGTGGCTAAGGAACCCACAAAGCTGAGTGTGCCAACACAGGCTCTGTGCCACGTGGTTCAGCTGAAGCCTCAGAAATGTGGAGCATCTGGGGATATAAGTGGATGAGGAAAACTTCAGCTAACTTTCACTGAGGCATAAAAATAAAATTTTGAATGTGTATGTTAGTTATATTACAATGAATGTAACAAATTCTCTTTTACCAATTTATGAACCAAAAGGGGAAACTTCCCCACAACTAACAATGGGGTGAGTGGGAGGAGGACGCGTGCGCCGGTGCAGGGGTGATTACCTGGGGGTGAGAAAAGCAGGATCTCCGCAGCCGTGCTCCCCATTGCAGAGGGTCTCTAGGGACAGTTCTGCCTCACTGCCCTCACCATAGTCCTCAAAATGCTCCTCATCACCTATCACCGTGACGACAGACTGGCTGTGTAAGTGGGATCTGAAAAGGCAAAACAGAAAAGACACATTGTGCTCAGGGCCATGACAGTCCTAGAACTGAAGGTGTGACAAGCGCTTTCCAGCAGAAATGAGTTCAAATGTAGGCACCTCATGGGACCAAGGTGACACCTGCACAGGAAGAAGGAGGAATCTTTCCAGAATAAGGCCGAGTTGTTTGGATATCAATGTGGAGAAAATTATTCCTACCTCACATCATATACAGAAAAGAAAGATAACAGAAATGGACCTCTGTGATCCATCTCCAGCATGGTTGGCTTCTGATAGAATTTGCTGAATTTCCGCAGGACAAGCAGAACGTGGGGAGGAGGGAAGAGGATGTAGGAACGAAGAACTGCACTTGGGCCAGCATTATGGTGGAAACCCTCTCCAAGGGTCTGCCTCAGCTAGACAGGGGAGGTGGAGTCAGCTAGAAAGGCCTCAGCACAATTTTTATAAATGGCCCAATGGGAGACAGCAAGACCTAGGTGACATATGAGAAAATGGGTGACCTCATAGCACTCAGCCAATGAGGAACCGGAGGAGGGACTAAATAAATAAGCTGTGCCCTAGCTTGTTTGGCTCAGTGGATAGAGAATTGACCTGTGGACTGAAGGGTCCCAGATTCAATTCCAGTCAAGGGCACATGCTGAGTAGTGGGCTCAATCCCCAGTAGGTGGCGTGCAGGAGGCAGCTGATCAATGATTCTCTCTCATCAGTGATGTTTCTATCTCTCTCTGAAATCAATAAAAATATACTTTAAAAATAATAAATATATAGGCTGGGTTCCCTGTCCCACGTGTGAGCCTGTACAATGGACACCCACTCTTAAGAGTGTATTTAAGGTCTCATTTTTACCATACCTCCATTTCCGAAATTCAGCCAGGTGAGCTATTTCTCACAAGATCTGAATATGAAGGCAAAATAATAGGCTTTTAAAGAAAAGCAGAAATAAACATTATAGTGATGTGGAGGTAAGCAAAAATTTCTCAAACAGAACACAAAAGTGCTAACCACAAAAGAAAAACAGATAAAATGGACTATATAGCAAATTAAAAACATCTGTTCCTCAAAGACACCACCAAGAAGCCAAAAAGACAACCTACAAAGTAGAAAAAAGATATCTGTGAATCTCTCTACAGAGCACGCCAGTGTCTTTCCCCATCCCCTGCTTCCCAGGGTGAGCTCATCTCCCCTCCCCACCCGGCCCCCAGCAAGCTGGAACCTCTCCTCCCTCTTTCCTCTCTCAAGTCCATCTCTGTCTCTGTCTCTGCTAAGCTCCAAGGCTCTTCTTTTGCTGTAACTTGTTTCCTGAGCCCATTTCTTCTAGGGCTCACTTCTACCTCTGTGACTTTCTAAACAAACTTTCTCTTATTAAAAAAAAAGAAAAAGATATCTGCAAAGCACATAGAGGTTAAGGGACTCGTCTAAAATATATAAAGAACTACTACGAATCAGTACGGAAAAGACAGACCCCAGGACCGACAGACTGTTGAGAGATCAAATCCCACCTACTTATGTGCCACTCTGCACTTCAACAGCACAGGTGAACAGCAGCCAGCAAGACCAGATGGCCTCCAAGCCAAAAAAAGTTGTATTATCTGGCTTTTTACAGAAACGGTTTACAAAACGGGTAAAAGACATGAGCAGCAACTTCACAAAAGAGGATCTCCAAATAGGCATAAAGGCAAGAAAAGATACAAAAGGTGCTCAACCTCATGAGGCATCTGGGAAATGCTAGTAGGAGCGATCCCACACCAACATTGTACTCCATGTACTCCAGAAAGCCAACATGAAGAAAGAGGGCTGTGCCAGTGCTGCCAAGGACGAGGAGCAACCAGAACCCACAGCATTGGCCCGTTAACTACTAAAGCCCTGTAGCCACCAGTAAGTAAATAACTTCTAAAGCTGAACATGTGTGCTCCAGATGCACTACTGACATGTAATGTTTACAGCAGCTTCAGTCATAAAACCAAAGTACATTAAATTAAAAAGCTGCAGCACATTCATACAATGTAATGCTCTACTAATAAAGTAAATGATTTATAGCTGTGCATAAAAATATGAATAAATCTCATAACTGCAAAATGAAGGGAAAGAAGTCAGGTGTAAAAGATATTTCAATCTTGCCGAAACCGGTTTGGCTCAGTGGATAGAGCGTCAGTTTGCGGACTCAGGGGTCCCAGGTTCGATTTTGGTCAAGGGCATGTACCTTGGTTGTGGGCACATTCCCGGTGGGGGGTGTACAGGAGGCAGCTGAACAATGTTTCTCTCTCATCGATGTTTCTAGCTCTCTATCCCTGTTCCTTCCTTTCTGTAAAAAATCAATAAATTTTAAAAAAAAGATATTTCAATCTTAAGGTATAAAACCAGAAAGAGCAATCCTGCCATTAAAAAACCAGATGGCCCTCCCTGGTTTGGCTCAGTGGATAAGACCTGAGGACTGAGGAGTCCTGGGGTTCGATTCCAGTCAAGGGCACATACTGGTTGCAAGCTCTATCCCCAGTAGAGGGTGTGCAAGGAGGCAGCCTATCAATGATTCTCAGTATTGATGTTTCTCTCTCTCTCTCTCTCTTTCCCCCTTTCCCTTCCTCTCTGAAACCTATAATAAAATACAAAAAATAATAAAAACCAGGGTGGCTCTAGCCGATTTTCTCAGTGGGTAGAGTACCAGCCCGCAGACTGAAGAGTTGTGGGTTCGATTCCAGACAAGGGCACATACCTTGGTTGCCGGCTCAATCCTGGAATGTGGGAGGCAACGTCTGTCTCTCATAAAGATGTTTCTCTCTTTCCCCTTCCTTTCCACTCTCTCTAAAAATTAATGAAAAAATATCCCCGGTGAGGATTAACAGTAACAAAAAGCCAGGGCAGCCCTGGCCAGTGCTGTTCAGTGGATAGAGCATAGGATTGTGGGTTCCAATCCAGGTCAAGGGCTTGTACCTGGATTTGATCCCCGACCCCTGTAGCAACCAATCGTTGCGTCTCTCTCATACCAACACATCAATGATTCACTCCCTTTCTCTCTCTCTCCCTCTTTTCCTGCCTCCCTTTTAAGATATAAAAAAAAATCAATGGAAAAAATATTCTCACGTGAGGATTAACAACAACAAAAAAGCCAGGGCACCTGCTGGGGAGCTGGAAGGTCTCCTATGTGGGATGTCTGTACTGTTATGACAGGTACACTTGCATGTCATTATATAATACTTCAATTAAAGAGGAAAAAAATGAAAAATTCTGTGAGGACCAAACAAAAAATAAAATAAGCTGAAAATAAAACCCAATCACTTCCAAGATTGCTAAGCATGGTGGCTTCCTAAATAGCAGAGGGAAAACCACAAGCTGTCATTCAGGTCCACATGGGCCACGGGCACCTCTCCTACCTTTCCCCTTTCTCTCATTGCTCCTCAAATGCATTGGGCACCAGGAGTGGTTGGGGAAACAGGAGGTCTGATTAGGGATGCGATGAAGATGAGGTTCTAAGATCCTGACAGGAGACATTTACTGAATGTTGTGTCTTACCTGGTTTCCAGGAATTGTGATGACAAAAATCCAAAAGATCAAGTTAATGTTTCCTCCTAGAATTTCTACTTCTGTGGCCAAAGAAGTTATGCAGCATTTATAACCACTATAATCTGCTGTCAGCAGGAGGGGCATCTCCTGACAGGGAAGTCAGCTGTGACCAGGAGATGGCCCAGGGCCACTCTGCAGGGTCCACATTCTCCTCCACATCCTGTGATGATTCTGAGCCACTCTGACTTAAATCCCTACATGAACCGAATCTGCCCATCAGACACATCTTACACACAATATCCAGACCGTGCTGCGGTGGGTTACAGACCTGCCTGGGAGCAGCAGCAGAGCACCATGGCCAGGCTCCTCCATGGCATCCAGGCACTCAGAGGGCACGACTGAGCCGCCCGCACTATCCATGTCCCCTTCAGGCTGTAGCTCAGGATGCACCAGGTTGCTTGTGTCCTCATCGGTGAAGGTCTCACACTCGCTGTAGGTGCTCTCGGAGCCCATGTATGCGCTGTCTGTTACCTCATTGGCCTAAAAGAGAGTGCCAAGAGTCAGTGCTGGCACCTGGAAATAACAATGTCCGTGTGTGGCATTTGGTGCAAAAAAAACCCAATACTGCCCTATCTGGTTTGGTTCTGTTGAGAGAGCATCAGCCTGAGACTCAAGGGTCCCAGGTTCGATTCTGATTAAGGTCAAATACACCTTGGTTGCGGGCACATCCCAGGTAGAGAGTGTGCAGGAGGCAGCTGATTGATGTTTCTCTCTCATCGATATTTCTAACTCTCCCTCTCCTTTCCTTCCTGTAAAAGAAAATGAAATACATTGAAAACAAAACAAAGCAAAACAAAAAAACCCAACACCAAACATAACACACTGCTTCTGCAGAAGTCAAAATGACCACATGGAGGAGGTAGCTCTCACACATGAAAAAAGTCCCTGCTATACTTCTAAGCAGAAACATTAGCTTACAAAACAATTTAATATTGTTTTAAAATGAAACATAGGCAGTATGTCCAAGTACAGAAACTACTGAAGTAATTTTTAAAATATATATATACTAGAGGCCCGGTGTATGAAATTTGTGCACAGGGTAGGGAATGTCCCTCAGCCCAACCTGCACCTTCTCCAATCTGGACCCCTTGAGGGATGTCCGACTGCCCATTTAGACTCAATCCCACTGGGCAGTCGGATATCCCTCTCACAATTCAGGACTGCTGGCTCCCAACTGCTCGCCTGCCTGCCTTCCTGATTGCCCCTAATCACTTTTGCCTGCCAGCCTGATCACCCCTTAACCACTCCCCTGCCAGCCTGATTGATGTCTAACTGCTCCCCTGACAGCCTGTTTGCCCCCAACTTCCCTCCTCTGCCAGCCTGGCCACCCCTAAGTGCTCTCCTCTACAGGGTTGATCGCCTCCAACTGTCCTCCCTTGTACACCTGGTCCCTTTCAACTGCCCTCCCTTGCAGGCCTGGTGCCTCCCAACTGCCCTCCCCTGCTGGCCATCTTGTGTCCACATGGGGGCAGGATCTTTGACCACATGGGGGCAGCTACTGTGTGTTGGAGTGATGGTCAATCTGCATATTACTCTTTTATTAGATAGGATAGAGGCCTGGTGCACGGGTGGGAGCCAGCTGGTTTGCCCTGAAGGGTGTCCCGGATCAGGATGGGGGTTTCCTTGGGGTGTGGGGCAGCCTGGGCGAGGGGCCTGTGTTGCCAGGGAAACACAAGCCTCCCAACTGCTCTCTGTGGCTGTAGCCATCTTGGTTGTGATTAATTTGCATACTCACTCTGATTGGCTGGTGGGCGTGACTGGTGGATGTGGTTTGCATGGAGTGGTGGTTAATTTGCATATTACTCTTTTATTAGGTTGTGTGTGTGTATATATATATACATATATATATATATACATATATATATATATATATATATATATATATATATTTTTTTTTTTTTTTTTTTTTTTAAAGAAAGAGGAAGGGCCGAAACCGGTTTGGCTCAGTGGTAGAACGTCGGTCTGCAAACTGAAAGGTCCTGGGTTCGATTCCAGTCAAGGGCATGTACATTGGTTGCGGGCACATCCCCGGTAGGGGGTGTGCAGGAGGCGGCTGGTCAATGTTTCTCTCTCATCGATGTTTCTAGCACTCTGTCCCTCTCTCCTCTCTGTAAAAAAATCAATAAAATATATATTTTTTTTAAAAAGGAAAAAAAAAAAGAAAGAGGAAGGGAGAGGGAGAGAAACATCGATGTAAGAAACTGATTGTCTCCTACAAGCCCCCATACGGGGGATTAAGCTGAACCCAGGCATGTGTCCTTACCAGAATTGAACTGGCGGCTTTTTGGTGTTTGGGATGGTTCTCAAGCAAGTAAGCGTTTGCATACTGGCCAAGTCTGGAGAAATTTTTAAAGTTAATTAATAATTATACTTTAAAAAAATATAAAGCATCTCAACACATGGTATATCCCAAAACAATCACCCATTTTGTGACTTCCAGCATTAGAATTATTATACCTAAGAATTAGCATTCATAGTGTAAGAATATGCATTTTAATTTAAAAAGTCACCATGAAGCCCAGGCTCGTGTGGCTCAGTTGGTTGGGCATTGTCTTATACAACAGAAGGACGCTGGTTTGATTCCAGGTTAGGGGCATACTCTCACGTCGATGTTTCTTTCTCTCTTACAATCAAGAAACTATTATTAAAAAAAAAATGTGTGTGTGTGTGTGTGTGTGTGTGTGTATTTTTTTTTTTTTTTTTTTTTACTGATTTCAGAGAGGAAGGGAGAGAGAGATATATAGATTGAAATATCAATGATAAGAAAAAAATCACCGATTAGCTGCCTCCTACATGCTCCACAATGGGGACTGAGCCTACAACCTGGGCATGTGCCCTGACCTGGAATTGAACCATGACCTCCTGGTTCGTAGGTCGACACTCAACCACTAGGTCACGCCAGCCAGGCAATAAGCTATTCTTTAAAAAAAATTTTTAAAAAAAGAAAAGTCACCATGAAGCCCTAGCCAGGGTGGCTCAGTTGGTTGGGCATTGTCTGGTGCACCAAAGGGTTACTGGTTCAATTCCTGGTCACACCAAAGTTGCAGGTTCAATCCCTTATCAGGGTGGGTATGAGAGGCCACCAACAGATGTTTTCTCTCTCCTTCTCCCTAATAAAATGAATAAAAATATACCCTTTGGTGAGAATTTAAAAAAAAAGAAAAATTCAAAAAGGCGTCATGAATACCTATTATATATGTTCCAGGCTATGGAAATGAAATTCAATTATGTGCTGCCCTAGCCTGTTTGGCTCAGTTGATAGAATGTCCATCTGTGGGCTGAAAAGTCCTAGGTTAGATTTTGGTCAAAGGCACATGCCCAGGTTGTGGGCTTGATCCCCAGCAGCTGGTCGATGATTCTCTCTCATCACTGATGTTTCTATCTCTCCCTCTCCCTTCCTCTCTGAAATCAATAAAAATACTTTAAAAAAAAATACTAATTAGCCCTAACCAGATTGGCTCAGTGGATAAAGCGTCAGCCTTCGGACTAAAAGGTCCCAGGTTCGATTCTGGTCAAGGGCATGTACCTTGGTTGCAGGCACATCCCCAGTGGGGGCTGTGCAAGAGACAGCTGATTGATGTTTCTAACTCTCTATCCCTCTCCCTTCCTCTCTGTAAAAAAAATCAATAAAATATATTTTTAAAAATATTAAATAATCAAATTTTAACCAATTAATTATGTTCATTGGTTAAATGTCTACTTTCGCACTAAACTTATCTTTATTTTTACCCATGTGGACTCGGCACCTAGCACAGGTCAGCACACAGCAGACAGGAAGTATCTGTGAACTATACAAATTAACTTAATCTCAGCTCTAATTAAAACACAATTGCACTGGCTAAGAAATGTAGCCAACTCGTCATGCTTAAAAGATCCCAAGTTTAATAATTTACAAACAGGTAAGATTTCAGAAAGTAGCTGGGAGAAGTACACTTTGTACTCGGGTTCAGGTATCACGGTTGGTGGACAGTCTGCTCAGATGTGCGAGGGCAGTGGTTGGCAAACTCATTAGTCAACAGAGCCAAATACCAACAGTACAACGATTGAAATTTCTTTCTTTAAAAAAAAAAGTATTTTATTGATTTTTACAGAGAGGATAGAGAGTTAGAAACATCGATGAGAGAGAATCATGGATCAGCTGCCTCTTGCACACACCCACCCCTGGGGATGTGCCCGCAACCAAGGCACATGCCCTTGACCGGAATCGAATCCAGGACCAGGCTGATGCTCTATCCACTGAGCCAAACTGGTTTCGGCTGAAATTTGAGAGCCATTTAGGTCTCATTTGTAAAAGAGGAGTTTTGCCCTGACTGGTTTGGCTCAGTAGATAGAGCATCAGCCTGCGAACTGAAGGGTCCTAGATTCGATTCCAGTCAGGGGCATGTGCCTTGGTTGCAGGCACATCCCCAGTGGGCAGTGTGCAGGAGGCAGCTGATCAGTGTTTCTCTCTCATTGATGTTTCTCTCTAACAAAAAATTAATGTTTTTCTCTTCCTTCCTCTCTAAAAAATCAATAAAATATTTTTTTAAAAAAAGGGGGGGTCTTGTAAATGCTGATCTCAACAGGTTGAAACCATATGGGATCAAAAGAGGCCACAAAGGCAGGTCCCGAAACAAAAAATGAGAAACGAGTTCATGTGTTACGGGTGGGTGGAATCCCTGCCGGCTGCTTGTAAGGCCAGAATAAAATAGGCAATGGATGTTACTAATGTTTTTAACAGAAAAACCAATCTTTCTTGGAATCTATGGCAACTAGGTTCACTTCAAAATCTGAAACCAGGAAATCACTTCAAGGGGCTCTAGTTCTACTCATCATCCCTGAGCAGGCTGGCTGTGTGCTTGTTCTGCAGGTGTCACCGGCAAAGGAGTTATCTGTGCTGGGGAGAAATGCCACCATGTCAGGGGGGAGCTGAAAGGGGGAACACAACCAAGAAGGCACAAAATCCAGTCAATCCCTGATGTCCTCTGCGGTATGGCTGCTAATCGGTTACCCAGATGGCACTGCTCATTTGCATGGGATACACCCAAGAACCGCCCAAAGGCACCAGGAAGACCCCCACACCACATTTCTAACGATGATGGCAAAGACCAGTCAGCTATTCAGCATTCAGCTGAAAACTCCTCCAGCAAGGAACTGCCCTCGCTCATGCAGTTGAGACTGGGCCTGTAGCTGAAACTCCCTTGGAGCTTGGTTAGAATGGAAATAGTTCTCCACTGTCACAGAAACAATGAGGCAGAAGCTATAAAACTCAACTGTTTCAAGCCAGGCACTTATACTCTCCATTCTGGGCATCTCTCATCTTTTAAACAGATAGAGGAGGGCAAACACTCTCCCCACTTCACCCTCCTTTCTAAAGCAAACCTGTTTCCCTGCACCAAATGAGTCGTACACTGATGAATACTGTTCACCACTTCACAAAAGGGTTTGTGTTTGCACTTACACCTTCATTTGCCCAAAATTATATGCAAACAGGATGGTGA